AGATGGTTTTCGTAAATTTGCGAATGTATAGACCAAAAACAACAACAACAAGAACGCAGTTTTTTTCCCCTTTTCTCAAAAGTCTAACGTGTTCCAGTTCCACCGATGCAAAACGGAACGACGGAGTTCCTGCGTTCCTTCTCAGAGGAACCCGTTCCAGGGACGTCGTTCTTCGGAACGTCGTTCCGTACAACACTGCTCGGGTTAACGTTATCGACTACGGTGGAGGTCAGGCTGCAAGTGCGAAGTGATCGTTAGGAAACCAAATACCTCAACTACACTAATTGGCTTTCTAAATATCCGTGTAAGCTGGCACATTCTAACGAGAGACGTGAGGGACTGTGCCGCCGCTAAATGGATTCGCTGCTTTCTATCTTCTTGACGCAAATGAGGGTCATATTGAATGGGTTAAAACAGCGCAAAAAAGACGAAGGACCACTAAAAGAAAACACACAGACACAGCGCTGACTCACAACTGAAATATTTACTGCTGCGCCATTCAGCAAGTAAATTTGAAACGAGACAAACATGAAAGCAATCGGCCCAATAACACGTCATCCTCCACTCAAGCCGACACGTCGCTACACGTGTCGTGTTTTGCATCTGCGTGTTTCCTTTTACTGGCCCTTCGTCTTTTTTGCGCTGTTTTGACCCATTAAATATGACCATCAACCAACTCGCCCAACTTTACACCTCGTTGCAGATGAGGGAAAGAGAATGAGACTTCAATCGCGCATTTGATACAGAAGCGGGACTCGCATGCGGATAGTGTATGCTTTGAAGGCTTTGTGAAGCAGGTGAACAAAGTTGGAACAATCAGAATTAAAAAAAAAAGAGAAATCAACATTGTTTGCAACACAGGTCTGTGAAGGAAGTCTTTTTTGCGGACATTCTCATGTGTTTGACATGACCGACTCTGACAGAAGTTTCAGCGACCATGCAAATATAATGTAGTGCAGACCAGTTGCTAGGGGGAGTCTCATGTCATCACGTAAAGTTAAAATGGTAACTATAGGCTTCACGTTAGGAGCAATACTTTAATCGAAGAATTAATACTGTCTTTATAACTGCTGGCAATAACGACGCCTATGGTGTTTGAAAATTTCTTAATTCCTTAAGCTGTCCTGGCTGTATGGCCCCCTCATTAATGGAGAGTCGTTGATGATAAATTTTTTTTCTGAGACCGCAAAGGCTGACGCCGATTGCACGATTTTATTGACCTTCAAATTTTTTCGTTTTTTTTTTTTACCTTTTGGCGATATCGATGCATTTGGGAGGGATGCAGAGATCACTGAATAATATTATATTTCGAAAATTGCCTCTGGTACTCCAAATACAAAAATCACATAGATAACCCGGTCGTATATAGCATGTGGTGTTTTAATAACGAGTGAGAATATATCCATGATGTTTTATATTAACTCGAGCACCCTGTATACATACATTCTGTATTGAGCCAGATAAACAGATGGTGAAGACGGCACTCTTCTCTCACTCCTTTAGAAGAAAGTTGTTGGACTTAAAATCTAGCATCTGTATGAGTACATACTTTTAAGGAATTTGAATTAAAGAAATGGTTCCTTCGGTATAACGTTGTCGACCGCGGTGGACGTCAGGTAGAAAGTGTAATCAGAAAAACAATTTCCTAAAATCTACTAATTACCTTTTGAAATATTTGTATTAGCTGGAACATTTCAATCAAAAACGTGTTGACCGTCGTCAAAATATGCCGAAGCTCTTGCAATTCAAACAAATTTTGCTCTGCGCTATTCTCTGGAGGCAACCCACTTAGGCCGTCCAGAAACCGCCATACCAAAACCAAGGTTAAAAAAAAAAAAAAAAAAAAAAAAAGATTTGAAAGTTAGGTTTCCGAGGAGATGGCAGTGTGGTGCGCCATCTTTACCCCCACGTGACCCTTAGATAACGTGACGCTGCAATATTGCCCTGCGCATGGCCAACTTGGCGAAGCGCGCGGCTCTCACACGAAGGCACGGGGTTCGAACCTTACCTGCCTAGTTTATTTTACCTTTCGCTACTCTTTAGAAACGTTCTAGTAGAATCTTGTAACATTTCGCATGTTCTTAAGCAGAATGTTATACACTACGCAGTTTGCATAAAAAAAATCTGAGAGTGGCAACTTCAAGAAAGTCGCAATGAAGTTGCCGATGTAAGATGCTGCACCTTTGGAAGCACAAGTTCGCCTCGTTAAACATTTATGTTATTCGTACGTTTACCATTTTCAATCCGTGACAATAGGGAGTTTTCGTAGACCGTTTTACCACGTCCGCTACCTTCTACGGAACGAAGACGCCTCTACTGCGCATGCGCGGCGTTAGCCTTGCCTGTCGAGAGTCTAGGGCTGGGCGTCGGTTAAAAATTTTAACCCGATTAATCGCCACCCTTTAATCGATTAATTAATCGATTAATCGGTTGCGTCGATTTTTATATGTAATATATTAAAATAGAATGCAACAACTCGTCTTGCCTTTGAAGACTTATTTTACTCTCTGCTACACGGCGCAAAGGGCATTTAGAATTGAGGATACAGATAGTTCAACGATTCAAAGACTCAAATATTTTTGCTCCCGCTCCGAAGACAAAGAAGTTTCTCCGCATTCTCCGACAGGAAGACAAGAAGTCAGGGCTTGGGCAATGCTTTCTTCTTTTTTTAAAGAAAGGGGCCTCGATGAGAAGGCGTTGATTGTTGTCTGCGTTTTGGCGGATGGTCCTTGCTGCAGCCGAGTACATGGGTGGTTCGCTCGTAGGTGATACTAAAGCGAACTTAAGCTTCCACTGTACGAAAACGGTTTTTTGCAGATGTTGCAGTGGACTTCCTTTGAGTTAAAAACTTCACCCCTGGAGTTTACTTTAAACCCAAACTTTCCAGCGAGGTTGCCTTTCATACTCGTGAACTCGTCCATTTTTGCGGGCCGAATACTGGAACAAATAACCATGGCGTTGTTAGCTTCCCAGCTTGTTTTTCTGCTTGTTTGTCTTGCCTGGGCAGGATGTGTAATAGATCCTCAACACATAAAGTTTCGCGGTCGCGCGGGGATCAATTAGCGGCGAGATGTTTTGGTGGCGCCCTCCTATGTTTCCCCCTTGTGACGTCATTACCTTGCGAACAGAAAGTTCGATGGTGTTTGTAAATAGCATGGTGGAAGCCTGAAATCATTGCGCTCTCAAAGTAACACTGCCAACACCGTCAAAATTAAAGTTCTTTCATTCCTTTTATTTCCGTCGATGGTATACCCTTTCCGACGTCATAGTCACCTTTTGGGCCAATCGTGGAAGGCCGACCACAGCGACGATTTCGGTCGCGCACGTCGCCAATAGCGGGCCCGGCTTTTTCTTCTAGCCTCGGCAGAACTCTAATGTATATCCTCGAACACGTGACGCTTTGCGAGCGCGAGAATTGAACCTTGCTCATAACACCTGGCTCGGAATCGAAAACCGCTCGGGACAGAACGACCGGACGCACGTCACGCAGCGTTTTCCTTAAGGGGGGGGGGGGGGGGGGGGGCATGAGTCACCCCTAGTTTGGGCAGATCGTCCAGGATAGAGCCATGCGTGCGTCCAGTTCTTTTTGAGTACCAATTAAAAAAACGATTAACCGGTTAAAATATTTTATCGCGATTAAAGCCTTAATCGATTAATCGGGAGGTTAATCGATCAATTGTCCAGCCCTAGGACTCGAGACTCGTATCTCATAGCGGGTTGCGGAGAACGTTTCAGGACAGCGGAAAAGATATACGAGAACTCCCTAATATCTGCTCGCGATGATTCGCTACCCGCGCCCGCTGCGGAGGCTGACGTCGTTTCCGGCCGGGCTCTATTGCATTTGCATCTAGTTTTGGTATCTCACTCGATCACAGCCTAAATTTTCCAAAGAATATAACTGAGCAGAATTTAGTTGTTCAAATTCTAACTAGAGCTATGGCACATTTTGCGACGGCTGACATCTAACTGGAGTGTATCAGCTGTAAGGCAAATATTTCGAAAGAAAATGAGTAGATTTAGGCAATGCATTCGCTAATTATCATTTCACACTCTACCTGACGTCCGCCGCAATCTAGATCGTTGTCCCGAAGGAATCAAAAGGTTACTTTAAGCGACCTTAGCTTTATTTTTTTTTAAATTTTTAATAACAAGTTTGAATTAACGGTAATATTATCTATACTCTCGTTAATATGGATATAGACAATTTTCAGGCATGAACTGGATAATTACGTGCATTTTTGTCTCAATCTTGTAGACAACCCGCACTGTGGATTGTTGGGGGAACTGACTGGAGGTGTCCATATTAATGATACATCAATATACCAGGAGTTTCACGGAACGTCGGCCAAATCGTTTCCTGCCAAAACCGCTATCACACAGACGCAAAAAGATGGATGTTGCGTTGGGTTACTATCCACGTTCGCGATAACGAGATTGATTAAATTCGAGTAATCAACTTTTTCGTTGCTGAATTTAAAGCTATGGTTCGAGCTAGAAAATTGTTGGCCATCACCGAATTCCGACTTTTCTTTTAGGCTTCGGGGTCCTACTGGAGCGCCTTTTACCCGCCAGCGGTCCTGCTCCCCGTGGCCAAAGCGCACAACTAACGCGCGCCGCCACACTTTCTTCGTGTGACGGAACTGAACTAAAAAATCAGAGCTTCTGTCTTTCAATCAAGGCGGTTTCATTTCGTCGACTCGGCTTGCATTTTTCTCTCCCGTGAGAGGCGAGGCGGCAGTTCCCCATTTCGGCAGGGTAGCAGGACTGCTAGAGCAGAGATGAGTTTTGGCAAGAAACCGAAACTGAAGAAAAATACGCCCAAAATGAGTGGATTTTTTTTTTCTTTTGGAACAACGTTAAAATTAGGCGTGTGCCGTACACTTTTGTAAAGTGGGCCGATTTAGTGGTTTTCGGCGATGCAAAGAAATTTTTTTGATCTAAACGGTACCTTTGACTTTGCGAATTAGAAATTTAATTACTCTGAAGTAAGTATTGACCTAATTATACCACTTATTTCACCAAATCGACCCCTTGGCAGAGACCAATACGACATCAACCTTTGATTTCGTCTTTCTGTGCAACAGGTACTTTTCGTAGCAACGATTTGGCCGGTAACGTGCAACACTATATAATGCACAAATATCAGGACAAAACGTTTCCTGGAATGTTCCCAGGGATTGAGAGACGGTAGACGATATTGGTGAGGATTCCCTAGCATTCATATGACGGAACCACGAAGACTCATTGACACGGTCGTGTCCGACGGCTCCCGAGCAAAGTCGTAGATTGACAAGCACATGAATTAAAGCTTTTTGTTTTCTTTATTTGTAAATGACTCGAGTACGACGCGAATGCGAGTCACGATTGCGACAATCCCTTTGTACTTTCGATGCTCGAAGGTCGTTCAACTGGTTCAACTCGGGTTCATCTGCTGCACGCGATTAGAAAACTACGCCTCTAGGCTTGCGAAGTTTGCGAAACGAAGGGCCGACTAATAAGAACTCGGTTTGAACATAAAACCTGCATCGTGTTCCTCGAAAAGCTTACTTCCTTTTTTTGGTAATTCAAATTTCACGCCACACTTTCGTCACAGTTGCAAAGACTATATTCGTATGAATACTCAATAGTATCGTCATATGTGATTTACTAAAACACACGAAAATGTATTTCTTCATTTTCGTTTCCTACATCGAAAATTAGTTTGTTTTTTATTTTCAAATTTTATGTGGTTTATTTGTTTGAAGATCTGAATTGTGCAATTAATTCGATTAGTTTTATTGTCTTCCGTTGAAAAGATTCCAACTGCTCTCTCAAGATTAAACTTTTCAAGGGTTTTAACAGGCGATAAACATTCTATATAATATCCGAGCCTTTGCCAACACGTTTAGAAATATGTATTCGATAAACTACAAACACAGCATGATCAACATCTGCGCAGATGAAACCTGGGACAGTTCCCAGAAATATGCTTATCAGCTAATCATGAACGTGTTTGGTTGAAGTCTATATTAACGCGCATTTTTTTTCAATCAAAAAAAGGAAATATTAGTAACCATGAAGGACCCGTCACACACACGCGGGCAGATATTTGCTGCTACGAAATTATAAAGGCAACAAACGAGAATAAACAAATAAGTACGTTTTAGTTCACTTTGAAATAACTTAGTAACGAGTATTCTTTATGTAACTAAAGAAGAAAGACAGCACCGTAAGAAAGCGGGAGCAAGAACTAGGGAAATTTGTAGCCGCAAACTCTCGACGCTTCGAAGTTCGAGTAGAGAACACACCATCTTGGGCAGCTCGAAGCGCCCTACGTCTCCACGTTAGCTCTCTGAACAACACAACGACGCAGGCACAGTAATTACTGTTATAATATGTATATATGTATGCATACTGGGTGTTTCAGCGAAGGCTTTGAAGAATCCCTAGAAATAAAATAATAGACTTAAAAAAAAAACTCCTTCCGGGAACAAATTGTTATCCACAGCGGACATCCCAGGAAGTGCAAAAACATACTAATTAACTGAATGAATAACTAAAATTGAGTAGTTATTTTAACATCAGGGAAAATAAACGTGTGGTTCCAAGGAGAAACTTGCGAAGCATGCCCGAAACCACTAAATCAACTCATTTCAGAAAGCTACACAACAGGGCCAGAGTTTCTACGGCGTTCAAAAAATACGCTTACTTTGGACACGTTTCTAGGTTTCGGTTTCCTATCCGAGCGTAGCTTTGGGCCAGCGGCCATGCTCCTCGGTGACCGAGGCGCGAAACTACCACCTAAAGTCCCTCGTTGAATAAAAAAAAAAGTATGGTGCACTTTTTTTTTTTTTTTTTTGAAAAGGGGCGGGGGGGGGGGGGGGGGGGGGAGGCCGCCGTGAAGTGTTGCCCCTGCCTTAAACCTTTCTAGAATAAGTTGATTTAGTCGTGCTCGATGATGCTTAAGATGTTTCTCATGGGAGCCATATGCCTATTTTCATTACAAGACAGTTTATACAATGTTAGTGAATCACTTGGCTAATTAGTATATTTCTTACACTCCTCGACGTCCGCCAAGGCTGGCAGTCTGTTCCCCGAAAGAGTTGCCTACGCTGAAACACCCTGCATTTTCACAAGCGAAAAAGTACACGAACACCACGTATGAAGTGACAACTTGTCGCACATTTTGTTCGTTCGGTGAAGGACTAGAAGGGCGTTTGATAAGCGATGAGTCTTGGCCGTCTTGAAGTGTATCCAGGCTACGAAGCCTCGGCACAGCTGGGCTACCGTTGCAGTGTCCACGAGCGGTCAACGCTCGACGCTGGATTGATTGGAAAACGGCTGCACTGTCTCGTGAATAAGCACGGTCGAAGAGCAGGCGGAGCAGGGCATATGGATCTGTCTGGCCAGCAGACCAGAACAATGAGAGATCCGTGGCTGCGCATTCGGAGGGCAAGTTCGCAGGACTGACGTTGGAGAGTGGTAAGCAAAGAGTACATTGACGATCCGACACGCACGTTAATGATCCCGTGCCGCCACATATGAACGCGAAAGTCACAATGTGGAGTTGTCCGCGACCTTTGAGGGTCACGAGCGAATGTGTCGCCGATGGTTAGGATGACATTCTGAATTGACAGCTGGACGCTTACTGCCAGGTGTTGGAGAGCAACGTCAGAGGCACACTTTCACGTCGATCTTTTGAGCGAACCAGGGTCCATGTGTCAGGGATGCAAAAACTTTTTTGGACTCTACGGACGGGAAGCACACACGCGCGCGAAATGCTACACACTGCAGGGAACTCTGAAGTGGTATGGCACCACTACAGGGCCTTGCTAACGCTCATAGAGACGTCATGTTTTGGGCCGAGCACTGGGCGAAGCCGTCGACTTGACCCGTGGAGCGAAAGGACTGGCGCAGGGTGACGTACTGGTTGCGCGGGAGGTCGGACGGCGAGCCCGGCTGCTGCACGGCGGCGTTCACGAGTGGGGCCCTGTTGGTGTCGTTCAGCGGAAGAGGCGGCGGTGGCTCGGCCTTTCGGCCCAGTGACGAAATGGAGTGCAACCGGTTACGATCTCCGATGGAAGTCAGTTCCAAGGAGTCTGTGCCTTCCACTTGAACGCTGGCCAACGGCAGATCGAGGCACGGGGAGATGAGGCTACTGTCGTTGGCGAGGATCTCGACAATCTCGCACGCAGTGGGCCGTTGCTGGGCGCATCTAGTCCAACAGCGAAACAACAGGGCTTCCCTGCAGGGGACAAAGAAAAATATTATTCGCACACAGGCCACAATAGGAATCAGGCTTGAGCCGTGAAGCGTGAATACTCCCGGCAAGTGACGTCACGCAAAAAAAGAAAAGCTTGTTTGGAGCAAAGTTGCTGGTAACTTGGGATACACCTTTTGCCCAATTACGCAAGCCTAAAAACCAATGCTGTGAACGTAGGTAAACGCGCTGGGCATGCAGGCATTTGCAGCTGTAAATTTTCGAAAGCAAAAATCTAAAACAAATGGCACTTCGCAGCTGCGTTGCACAAATATTTTGGTTATTTACTTCGAGTCGTTTGTATAAGGAAGGCGAGCGCGTGCAGCGCGTGTACCTACGTTCCCAGCATTCTATTTGATGCTTGGGTAATTTAGCGAAAGGTTTATTGAAGGGGTAGCAGGGCCGCCAACAAAGATTATTTAGCACTTTTTGTTATATGCGTGACCGAGCATATTAGATACGAATTCGACATCAAACACATTCTTGGTGAGGGAGTTGACTTTAAGAGTATAAGAAATATGGAAACTTGCAGCTCGGGCTTGCAGCCATTGGGCACCGGGAGGGTGTTGAAGTTCTTCACGAAGTCGAGCACTTGGTTGTTCGATAGGCCCTGGTACGGGAAGCTGGCGAAGGTGACGATCTCGTATAGTAGCACTCCGTAGCTCCATACATCGGACATGGTGGTAAAGATGCCGTCGATTAAGCTCTCGGGCGCCATCCACCGTACAGGTAACATGCCGCGCTTGTTGAACCTATAGTAATCGGAGTCGTACATCGGCCGGCACATGCCGAAGTCTCCGATCTTGACGGTCCTTCCGGCATTCACGAGGCAGTTGCGACAGGCTAGGTCCCGGTGCACGTACTTGAGGTCGGCCAGATAGCTCAGTCCTCGCGCCACGTCGAGAGCCATGGCCGTGAGGCACTTGTCCGACACCTCTTCCGAGTCGTTGCGATTGGTCTCCTTGACCAAGTGACGCCGAGCCAGCAGGTACGTCTTGAGGTCCCCGTACAACATGAACTCCATGACTGTGTACACGGGCTCTCCCGAAGTGCACACGCCGAGAAGGCGCACGATGTTCTTGTGGTCGAAGCGCTTCATCATCTCGGCCTCGCTCAAGAAGTCCAGCTGAAAGGCACAAGAATCATGCATTTTTGCGACTCCCCGAAACAGGTTACGTAGAGCTAATTGCGATCTCGAACTTAACAGCCAGCCAGCATATTCCGTTCTCACACGAGACGTAAAACGCCTCGCTGGCCGACCAGGTTAGACGTAGTGTTGCAGCTGATTAACTAATTGGCGTTTTTCGATAGTTGGGAACACCCACATGTTACGGCGTTGCCAACAGAGCTGTGATGAAAGCCTAGTTCCACAAGCGTAGCTTCTCGCCCGGCTTGTTCAGATTCCCCTCCGCCCTGCTATATTTGCTGATATAGCACCATGCTATATTTTCCAATTGATGGCACTGACTTAGTTGTTTACCTTTGGAGACACTCGGGTTGATTGACCAGTGCCAATCAGCAGTGGAGAACTCGCACACAATCCTTGTATCGAGCGAGGAACCATCTTCCCGCTGAACGGAATCGGCAACGCAAGACTGTCGCCAAATTTGGACGATACACTGAGTGCCTCCAGCGACTAGTTTGGAATCCAACTGTGCGAGTCATGTGGCTTTCTGGCGGGCATTTCTAGAGGGTCGTGGATAGTGAGATTATCGACGAATATAAAACACATGGAGCAGTCCGTCACAGGTTTAAAAATCTGCCATTTAGGACGCACCAGATGGTTACACAAGGTGTGCACCAATATAGTGCACCAAGCCCGTTTTAGCTTCACTATGCAGTGGCAGGGTTTCCGGACTCCGTAGATTACCCACAAGTATCTATACCATACGTTCACATGACGGTTTACGCGGAGGACGTTGTAGTCTAGTGTGTTGGCAAATTTAGATTGCCCAAGACCCTTGGTAGAACACTCATGAAAACTGTCTACTTCAGAAAAGCTAGAGCTCACTGTGTCGTCATACACGAGGCATTCCTCAATCTCCGTCCCTGGTTGACATCCGAACCACAAGGTTGCAAATCCCCAAAGCATAAATATCAATTCGACGAGGGCAAAACTACCGACATTTCTCCCCATACGTCCCCCTTTGGGAAATACTAACTCCTTCACTTTTCTGTCACATTGTTCTAGCTTTTTTTTTCTTTCTTTATAGTTACCTCTATTTTTTGCTGCCTCTTTTTGGCTTAGTTACGGGGCCAGTCTTAGAGTTTCCCAAAGGGGTACGTGTGTGGCGCTTCTCAGGGGTCATGCTAACGCATTCCCTAAGGAAACACCAATGGATCTTCCATTAATGTTTTCACAAATTCGTCATTCTTGTCCAGCTCGCTTGCATCTTTGCATTTAATTGCTTTATAATTATAATGTTTTCACCCCATTTCTGTACTCTGCCTGTCAGTACGTCGACGCCCTTGGATACGTTCATCGATAACACTTGTGGAAAGAACCAGATCCATACCACTCGTGGAGGGAACCGCATTAATCATTTTAACTATAGTCGGCGGCAGGTTAAGAGGTGTGAAGATCTGGCAGCCCTCTTCCGCACTGACTCCCAAGGCCCCAGATTTTAGCCATTCGGCTAGAATGGTTGGAATTTAATTCTTACATTTAATACTTCCACAAATACGTACAATGATTTTCTTATTACACTACAAGCTCAGAAATCCGTGACGAAATTACCCCATATTTTTCACATACCCTTGTTTTCTGTAACCACTTTTCCCCTCCTGTGCGAGTGCTTCCCATGTCTATGGAGGTTATCTTCACGCGCAGGCATTCCCCGTTCCTCTTCAAAACAACACGCATAACAACCTTTTGTTGGGTGCTGAGGCGGAGTGAAGGGTTTGAGAGCAGTCGTACCTTTTCCTCGACGATGGCTCCGACCTTGAGTGTCTTAACGGCGACGGCGACCCAGCCCTTGTCGGGGACGAAGGCCTCTCCTCCGTAGACGGTGCCGAAGGCCCCTTCGCCCAGCTTGCGATTGATCACGATGTAGTCTCGAGGCATCTCCCATCCGTCCAGGGATAGCACGTTGTTCGACGAGAGCAGGCCGAGTTCACGCATGCGGGCTTCGGTTTGCTTCACCCTTTTCTCGTACCTATAAGTAGGCCGTAAGGAACAAGAACATTCGGTCGAACCGTTGACCTAGGAGAGCGCAGTTCTTGCTACTGATATGCGCAAAAATAAGATTGTACTAGCTTGACGGAAATATCAACCAGGTTATGACGTGGAGATAAAAATAAAATCTATACGAAATCGGACGAGACAAACAAATCTGAATCGAAGAGGCAATCTAGTGCACCTGTTCGTGATACGATAGACTCGAGACTGGGTCTGGGGAAAACAATCCCAATAATGGAACCGTTGCTGGATGGATTGTTGAGTGACTGCAGGCGGCTTTTCACGTTTTACCCTCGCACTGGTTCGCGGCATTTTTTCCTCACCACGAGAGATTAAAACATTATCGAAAGATAGTTTCAACAATATATATGAATTCTTTTGATATTTACAAGAATCAAAATGTGCTCATGTCTGCGAATCTAGGCGCGCATTCCACTATCCTCTCCCGTGGTCCTGTGGCATGCTGCAAATTGTAGCCACAATTATGGCGTGCTGGCTTACCTCTGCTTGAAGATGATGCACCCTCCGATCATGATAAGGGCGAAAAGCCCCAGGCCAATTACATTAGCCACCACAATGGCAAGATCGCAGCTCGTTCCGAGCAAACTGCGGAGACCCTCCAGGGGACAAGTGGCCGGGTCTGGAATCGGCGGACGAACAGTGAGCCAACAACTAAGGCTGGACAGGCGGATCACGCACCTTCGCTTCCGTCCCCTGGGTTGCTGCCGGAGGGCCAGAAAATCGGTTTCATGGGACCTTGAGGGCCCAGCAGGAGCTTATCGCTGTCATCTCCATAACCCGGGTTATAAGTACCCACGTGAACTTGGGTGCCGTTCACCCACTGTTTGATGAGAACGTCCGTGAGACGGCTGGATTTGTAGAAGCGCACATGACCGGAGACACCATTGAAGTTCGTCTCGTTGATGAGTGATATCAGCTCCCTGGAAGAAAACAAAAACCGCTATTAATTTAAGAAGTGGCGTTCTTGTGACGATTGCAACGGCGGCAAGTGCCACGCTTCGTTCTAAAACTTACTGGAAAGTTCGATCGTCGTGCAGCGTGGAGGTGTGACTGTGATTTCTTTGGAAAAGAGCTTCTAGTGCCAAGGCGAAGACCCAGACGGCGTCGTACGCATAGCCGCCGTATTCACTGTCTTCTTTGCCCTAAAAGTGAGAAATGCAGCGTAGTAAATTGTTGCGCGTTAATACCGATACGACATAACAGAAAATATTGACACCCATGGCGTAGTATCCAAAATGTATTATCCCTTCCAGACTTTCCTCGTCGAGAGCTTTAAGTATGATAGTTTCACTGTTAGACATGACTTAACTACTTCGGCAAGCACAGTGATTACGTAGTAAAAATCACGAAGTATAACGTGTTATTCACGTTATTCCAAATCCTCAAAAAATGAACGTCTCCCCCGAATGAACGGGCATCGTAAATGGTCGATAGGAAGGCGCCGTCAACCTAGAGGAAGGACGCATTTAGGAGGAACATTGACTATATTGAACACGTTGGTCTGCTGGTCACTTTCGTGTGCCCTCCTCAACAAGACATAAATTAGTATCTGCAATAACCTCATGCGAATGGTTTGTATGTTTCAGAACAAGTTGTATAGTAGCCATTTCAAACGGCGAACTCGGTGGTAGTACTTCTGGAGAGTATTTGTCGCCATAACCTGCGCATTGGTACTTTTTGTTACAAACAATAAAACGTGTCATCCTATGTGAAAGAACTACTAGCTCAAGAGCATTAATTTGACACACTTGTATAGCAAATTTTTTTTTCTGCGATTTTAGCAGATTCCATACGTTTACAGTTGCTGAAACTTCAGGACTCGTCAATTGTGTCGAGAATTAGCATTCTTTCACATATGAACAATTTCGTGACTCCTGATATTGTTGATTTTATAGAATGCAATACCGATCCACTTATCCTGGAGATATTCGTAGAAAGCTTTTTAAAAGAGTCCTTTTAAAGGACGGAAAGAAACGTAGCCTAGAAGCTTTCTGCCATGTTGTATACCTACAAGGTCCACACCTTGCAAACGTTTACACAATCCGCGTCGAAGACTACAACAGCATTTTCACTCCACTCTAAAAATAAAGTGCACAATTGAACCGCAGACCTGAGCAGTGGCGACTTGCTTGTAGAGCGCCTTCCAGTCGCCGACGGTCCGGTTCTCTTGCATTATGGCGTTGTCGTCGGCGTACGACTTTGGGTGCAGGCTCATGTAGCCCTCGAGAGCTTTCCTCATTTGGCTCACGGTACAGTTGACGCTCTCATTGTGGTACTTATTGTAGTGCTCGGTGTTGTACCACTGTCGGTCCCGGTATTCCTGCTGAGCCAGCCACGTGGGCAGGAACCACTGGTAACCGTGCGCACCAGTCATGCCCTGGATCAGAAGGGCGTCCCGCTTGCCCCAGTTCCATACTCGGCGTGGCGCGTACGACTGGAGTTCGCTAGCGTTTAAAGACATTTAAGAACCAACACTTGAAACACGAGACAAACTCGGGTTTTGTCGATTGTTATCCAAGTGCTTTTAGGGTAAATAGGGTACAGATGTTGCCCTCCCTTCACCAAAATGCTCACGGCGAGCGCCCAAAACAACTGCCCCAGTTATTTGTTCATAATCTTTCACAAACCGCTATCCGCTGCCCTTTTCTATTTTGACAGTTATATGATAAAGAACAAACTTGCCACACGATAAGAGGCTCTTTCAGACTGTAGCAACGACGGCATCTTGAGAACTGTCGCGTTTAATAAACAAAATGGTTTTGCAAAACAATAAGAAAAAAGTAACAATAAAGACCAAAGTGAAGTAACTAGATGGTCCGTTTATTTTGAAATCTTGTACAAAAACAGGCATGGAAAACCAATACTTGGTGCTTGATCACAATTCCCTTCCGCGTTTCTGTACATGACGTTGGCAAGGGGTCCTCTCACTACTCGATATTTGTGGACCGGGGCTTGAACCTCAATGTGTGTTGTGTCCCATCTTCCGTCAGTCTCAGTGTTTCGTTCGATCCGATTAAAATTTTACAGTTCGTTCGCGCCCCAGCATTCTGTTGGGATCTGCTAATATGCCCCTTCCAGTATCCGTTAGGTGCCTGCCTTTCACTATGTACCCTGGCCTGCAATTGAATACCGCGCAGGCCCAGTTCGCGCCCGGTCCGAGAGCGGAATAATACAGCGTGGCAATTAATGAAATTGTGTACCTAATTTTGAATACTTTACGAATAAGTATATTTGCTTTATGGAATCAGAAAGCTCTCGTATCTAAATTTGGGTACTTCGGTTCACTGAGGTAAGAAAAGCCACAAATTTGATTATATAATTATTTAGTGTTTCCCTTCAGGCCTGCCAGACCTCGCCGTGGCGCTGACGCTGCGTTCACTATTGATACTTGTGATGTGATTCTGGGTGATTAGTGATTAAACTGTCAAGGCGCCAAGACATTGGCACCAGAATCGGTTAAAGTAAAGTGCACGTCGTCGTTCGTTAATTTAATCACTTGTATATAATTTAGATGCGATTTTGTATATAAACATGTAAATGCAAAATTCCGGGAATGTCAGTTGAGCTTGTCAGCGCATCACAGCTCGTAGCACGTGGAGAGAAAGGTCGGGTTGCAGATCCCAGGGTTTGGGTTTGACCTTCCCTCCTGCTCTTTTTGATATTTACTACCGTCGTACCGGCGCAAGTTCGTGTAATCTTGTTAACACAGAGGTTCGGGCGAGTTGGTTGCTCATGATGTACAGGAGGAACAGCGAACCCGGATAACAGTCATTCAAATCAACATACACACAAGAAAGAGACACTTACTCAGCGCTGACCGACAACTCTCTATATTTACACTTTCTCTTCTATTTGTGAGGGAGAATAACTGTTTCTTTTCTTTCGATATGATGCTAAATAGTGAACTAAATTGAAATTAATGTAAGGCTAGGCAGTCTAATTCTTTTTGTGACAAGGTTAAAGACGGAGTACTAACACATGTGCCGTTATGTTTCGCAATGTTTTCTGCCTCGATAATTTTCTTGTGAGCTTGTTGTGTTGCTTGCCAAGCACGCCGCAGTTACTCAGCAGCACTGAACAGCCACAGTCTCGACAGTGAATGCATAGATGACCGGAGCTTTTGTTGGTGAATGTGTTGTTATGTTCACGAAGGCGATCGTTCAGACACCTTCCGGTTTGACCTATGAACAGCTTTCCACAAGAGAGGGGAAAGGAGTACACCACCTTGTCTGTACAAGGGACAAAGGTGTTCTTGTGCTTCTTTTTGCAGCCAACTGTTGTTATTGGTGGAGTATTTACCTTCTTGCATAAGCTGTGAAGTTTGTTAGGAGCTGAGAAGATGACTTCCAAGTTTACTCGGTTAGCTATTTTCTTTAGTCCGTGAGAAAAATTATGAATATATGGCACGATGATGAGCTTCTTTGTTTTGTCTCTTTGCTTTTGTTGTGTGCATAGGTTTTGCCTGCTTTCGTTGATGAGCTTTTCGGCCACTGATGTTAATAACGAGTTTGGGTATCCTGCGCGCTTTAGTCTTGAGACTTGCCTGTCAAAGCTCGCTGGAATGGAATGCGAGCAGGATTTTACGAGTGCATGAGTCCTTTGGAAATCACCCATGAACTTCCAAACGAGCGCTCTTTAAAATTCCTAGATCTCAGACTCTTCATGTTACCCTACCATTTATGCTGGTCGTATGAGCCCAGGGGAAAAAAACCGCTCTTACCATTCAACTCGGCCCATTCAAAACTTGTAAAAAGGAGCATCGTGCGGTTAAGCCTCAAAAACTCGCTTATAAAATCTTGCTCGCATTCCATTCCAGCGAGCTTTGACGGGCAAGTCTCAAGACTAAAGCGCGCAGGATACCCAAACTTGTTAACATCAGTGGACGAAAAGCTCATCAACGAAAGCAGGCAAGACCTATGCACACAACAAAAGCATAGAGACAAAACAAAGAAGCCCATCATTGTGCCATATATCCATAATTTTTCTCACGGACTAAAGAAAATAGCTAACCGAGTAAACTTGGAAGTCATCTTCTCAGCTCCTAACAAACTTCACAGCTTATGCAAGAAGGTAAATACTCCACCAATAACAACAGTTGGCTGCAAAAAGAAGCACAAGAACACCTTTGTCCCTTGTACAGACAAGGTGGTGTACTCCTTTCCCCTCTCTTGTGGAAAGCTGTACATAGGTCAAACCGGAAGGTGTCTGAACGATCGCCTTCGTGAACATAACACATTCACCAACAAAAGCTCCGGTCATCTAGGCATTCACTGTCGAGACTGTGGCTGCTCAGTGCTGCTGAGTAACTGCGGCGTGCTTGGTAACACCACAACAAGCTCACAAGAGAAATTATCGAGGCAGAGAACATTGCGAAACATAACGGCACATGTGTTAGTACTCCGTCTTTAACCTTGTCACAAAAAGAATTAGACTACCTAGCCTTACATTAATTTCAATTTAGTTCACTATTTAGCATCATATCGAAAGAAAAGAAAAAATACCGGTTATTCTCCCTCACAAATAGAAGAAGAGAAAGTGTAAATATAAAGAGAGTTGTCAGTCAGCGCTGAGTAAGTGTCTCTTTCTTTTGTGTGTATGTTGATTTGAATGACTTATCCGGGTGCGCTGTTCCCCCTGTACTTCGTGTAATCACTACTGGGTGATGCATGTTAAAAACCCCAGGTTACCAGTCATACTGCACTGGCTAAATTGTTCATCTACAGTTGTTAGACCAAGTCCCCGCGGTCTAAATTCCAACAACTGTGATAACAAGTCCGAGATTAAAAACCCATTTAAACAAAATTAAAACAATCCAACCAACTGTCCCGATTTTAGGTGCATTAAAGTAATGCTGCAGCTGAAATCAGGATAGTGCCACTAAAAAACGACATGGTAAAACTTAAAAGCTCACAAAGCGAAGGTCTCTCCCAAAAGCAGAGTTCTTCGCTTTGAGACGGGAGCAAACACTTGCTGCAAGGGTTGCCTTTTCGAACGATTCCACGGGCAGCGGACTCTTTGAGAAGCTGTGCACAGCCGCGGGCGCAGGCGCCCCGAGGCAGGGCCCACCTGCTTGTAGGCCTCGCACATGATGGCCCTTGCGGCGTCCTCGTCAAAGCCCCCGATGATGATGCGCGCGTTTCGGGCCTTCAAGTCGGCCAAGTACTGCGACATGTTGAAGTGCGTCCGGTGGTGGGTCGCGTTGTGCGTGCTGTGGTCGTGCGGAAACTTTCGGTTGGTGATGAACGTGAGCCCGCGCTTTTGCATGTCGTCGTGCAGCAGGTTCAGGTACTCGCTGTACTTGTGTCCGTCCTCGGTCAGGGCAGCCACGCGACGCCAGCTCATCGCATCCAGTAGCTTCATGTACACGTACCTGCAAACGGAGGGGGTCGGTCACCGCTCCGACTAGTTCCAGCAGCGGCACGGCCTATAGCCTGAGCCTCGCTCCTGCATTTCGACCATGGTCCAGTACTCCTGACCGACAAATAGGACAAAGGCGCTTAGGGTAGAGACCTATAGACCTCCGTCACGCGGCCGTTGGAAATAGCCTATCGAATAGCCCAATATTTCACATTGCACGAAGGTACGAGCTGGTTCGCCTGTTCTCAGTTGGTGCTAAGAATCAATTGAAACGCGTGTATGACGGAAATTGCCTTTCTAAAGAAAGTTATGAACAGCGTTGTACAAGGTGCACGTGTGCAATTATTTAGGAAGTGCATGATCGAGCGCTCGTGGAGACCAAGGAACTATCTATCAGCCACACTTTTATAAAGTGTGAGCTGATGAAACCGAACTGGAGATCGCCCTCCCAGCTTTCCACCGGTAGGGCTAGAGGTTAACGCGATGAGCGAACAGAGGTTCGTAGCCCTCGAGTTCTTTCCGGGTAACAGTACTCTGGTATAAAAAAATAGTCAGTACGAGCATATAGGCGACTCCGAGAGAAGTCACGTAAAATCAGCCAGAACATCCAATCGAAACTGTCTATCCACAGCTTACCTGTACATGTGATTTTCAGGTATGGTCCGAAAGAAGTAGGGGTACTTCTCGCGCTTCGAGAAGAGTGCCCCCTCAGCGCTGTAACTGATAATGGCCGTGTTGTAGTGCTTGGCCACACCCACGATGGGTTCCAGTGTCTCCGTGCAAGCAGGCCCTGCCAATATGACCAGTCGTCGGTAAGCATTTCAATTCAATTTGTTTATTTTCTTTCAAAACAAAAGATGGTAGCTGGTACAAAAAGCTGTTATGAAGTACAGCTTGACAAGGCCTCAGAACAAACAGTCACTATACGCAAAGGACCAGAGATCTATCTGTCTAGGCCTATACACCGTTTAACCAAATACTTGACTAGAAGAATACACTTTGCTCCGCTCATTTGCGTTAGACAGCGCGTTTACAGCGGCAAATCTTCCCCGAGCAGTGTAGAGTAGACAGTCCGAGTCCGAGAAAACGCCGGCGCATCTCGCTGGCCACGCTTTCGTGCTGTGCCAAGGGAGAGTTGCTGCCGGCGCAGACACACCAGGATAACGGATTCGCCAAGACGACGATAGATGGCGGCATCCAAACCTCCCAATTCAAAGGGGAAAACCCTGAGGTTGTGCGCGTCCAGCCGTTCCAACTACGTAAAGGCTTGCGGCAACGTTACTAAAACACTCGGTTGGGAAACTCGCCGTCGAAACCTGGGCCGCTGGCGTCCACCGAGACCGAGCTAAATGCGACAACAGCGCCACTCTTTTTCGTTTGTCTGTACTGTAATCACCTTGAGCTTTTTGAAAGCCTGTTTTTGCGTAAAAACAAACGGAAAGACTTTTTGTATGAAATTTATTGGAGTTTAGTACCAAATGATGGGCGCGTGATGTTTTTATCATCTTTAGTTCGCAAGGTTTTGCGGAACAATTAATATTGTTTTTATAAAACCATGCCTCAGCGGGCCTTTCAGGTAGCGCGTCCCGACCTAGGTGCATTTTAATTTCAGTAGTTCGACGCGGCGCGTCCGCCGGGGAGACGGGGGTTCACCCCTGTCTAAGCCAAAAATAGAAGTCACGTGCAGTTTCTCGAGTGGCCGCTGCGGGAGAAATGGTGGCGTTGTGTTCGTCATTAGCTCGATGCTCGGAGACAGATTGGGGCCATATTTTTAGGGCTGTCTCTATGGGAGTTTCCGAACTGAGTGTTTTAGTAACGTTGGCTTGCGGCAACGTTACTAAAACACTCAGTTAGGAAACTCCCATAAAGACAGCTTTGAAAAAGTGGCCCCAAACTGTCTCCGGGCACCGAGCTAATGACGAACACAACGCCACCATTTCTCCCGCAGCGGCCACTCGAAAAACTGCACATGACTTCTATTTTGGCTTTAAGAACAGATACAGCGGTAGAGGTCACAGGGGTGCCACCCCCGTCTCCCCGGCGGACGCGCCGCGTTGAGCTACCGAAGTTAAAATGCACCTAGGGCGGGACGTGCTACCTGAAAGGCCCGCTGAGGCATGGTTGTATAAAAACAATATTAATTGTGCCGCAAAACCCTGCAAACTAAAGATTTTAAAAACATAACGCGCCCCTCTTTTGGTACTAAACTCCAATAAATTTCATACAAAAAGAGTCTTTTCCGTTTGTTTTTACGCAAAAACAGGCTTTCAAAAAGCTCAAGGTGACCACAGTACAGACAAACGATAAAGAGTGGCGCTGTTGTCGCATTTAGCTCGGTCTCGGTGGACGCCAGCGGCCCAGGTTTCGACGGCGAGTTTCCCAACTGAGTGTTTTAGTAACGTTGGCTTGCGGTTTCAAGGCCAATGAATGTTCGCGGAATAAGATTTATTCTCCAGTAAAATATTTGTTGCAACCGCCGAAAGTACTGATGGTTGGGGCTGTGCACCAATTGAGAATTTTAACGCCGTGAAGCAGCGACTTGTACGAGATGGGCATTGATCTGTTAATTGGTCTAATCTGGTGCCCCATCTAATTTGTAACATACAATCCCTAGTGGACGGTTACAAAAAATATATTTGTTAGTTCAGTGCTGAACCGAAGTGTTGCAATCCGACTACATGCACCTGAAGGTGTGTCAAAACAGGATAATTCAGAAACCGTGAAAGGAAACAACTCCGTCATATGTTGTGCGGCAATCCGCTTCTATCCATTTTTCATTTGTTTATTTATTTTTTTTTTTTTTTTTGTCGGGGGAATTTTTTGTTTTCCTCGAGGTTCGCTTGTGTTCTTCACGGGGCCCTTGAGCATGCTTATCACGTGGGTCCGGACAGCCACTCACACGCTCTGCTGGCTTTCGGCCAAACGCTCAAGGCCTCCGCTGCTGTTCAAGTCCCGAAAACGGGAGAGGGAAGCATACGAGGGTGCGGCAGAAGAGATGGACAGGCAAAAGGTACACTATTGGCAGGTGGCGTGTGACGTCAAGTCTGACGAGCACCGAGGTCAGCGAGAAGCGGAGGAGGCAAGGAAGAATGTCATGATCTTTGCCTGGTGGTGGCCAAACAGAAGACGGACTGCCGGACTTCAACTTCCACTTCATAAGACGGAAGCGTGTCGCCTCACAATTGCTGAAGTGTTCCATTTGGACAGCCCTTTAGATTGCAAGCTGACTGAACGATTCGTTTAGATATAAAGCGGAGGAAGGAGCAGTAAAAGGTACCCAGATCATGCACGCACACCTTCAGAAATATTTACGTTGTAAAAATGGAAGCCGTAATTTAGAGTTCAGTGGAATTTTATGAAGCTAAAGCAGTACGCGAGAATTAACAGCGCTAGAGCGGATGATATAAAATTCAGCCTTCGTGATCACGCCAGTTTAGGGGTGTCATAGTAGCCTGCTCTCTCGGATTTAGAACGAGTTATTTGACGGAGTATTTCCTCCTACTCACCGAGGATGCCGATGAGGCTTTTGTAGGTGCTGTTGGTGACGTAGCCGATGTAGCGCTTCATGACGACATCCTGAGCGCACTGGCCGTCTTGCTCCAAGATGACGAGCCGGAAATCGCTTAGGATGTGAGGGGAACGGTTGATGGCATCCATAGCCATGCGCGCCGCTAAGAGAAACAAGAATGTGGACACTCGGTTAACGTTTTGTCCAGGATATGAATCCTAGTTTTAAAACAAAAGCTCCGGAACAAGTCCGTAGGGCTGAACTCTCCACATCACCTACCAAGGGCCAGCGCGGAGCTTTGATTGGGCAAAAGTGCTGCGTCATTGTTCGACTGGTATCCCCATCCGTGCCCTGCACTGGCCTTGTTTAAGTGACGTATAAAATTTAAGAGAAATGTCAGACTGTCAAGATTGACGTTGCCGTTTTGAGAACGCGAACATTCCCAAGCTTTCATAGTGCACGAGCCTCTCGCAAGCTTGGAACCTTGTTAAGGTTGCACGGGAGAGTTCATGGAACACGAACAGTTTTAGTTTCATGAACTCTGAAACAATGATTTCAGAAATGGTGGATTGAACATCCTGCTCGGTTTACAATTTCAACGGAGTGTGCATTCGGATAATCACCGCTGCCGAGATACGTTTAATGGCTCAAACCAGAACCGAGTTCGTTGAGGTTTAGCGACTGAAACGTTGAGGACATCTTTACCGCCGACACGTCAGACGACGAGCCAGAGGACTCCGAATCTTCAGAAGTATAAACAATTGGTAAGATTTAAGGCTCGTTCACACAGACCCGTTTTCTTATGCTACGTTACGAAAAGACCCTGGGAAATCTGTGCTTCGTATTAAGCGTGGCTACAATTCAAGGAGATAGCCTGGCACGCGACATGCGGACACCAATGTTTTGCTGACGACGAGGTAGGACGGTAAATTACCCTGGCAACGAAGGACACAAGGCTCGTCCTAACGTTACGCAAGGAGTTGAGCTCGGTTCAACTTATCACACAGCACCGTTTTCTTACGTTACACCTAAGTCACCGAAACATTCATTTCTTGAATGTCGTGTGCCAGGCTATCTCCTTGAATTGGTAGCCACGATCAATACGAAGCACCAATTTTCCGTTGACTTTGCGTAACGTAACGTAAGAAAACGGGTCTGTGTGAACGAGCCTATATTCATCATCCCTCCGAATCCGACAGTGATCATGAAAATGTCCTAAGCGCTGCTAGCGACGAGGAGGCTGACCTCAGCGATTCATCCATCTGTTCTGACAGACCAAGATCAACTCGAAATGTACGAGTACAGAGGACGGGAGGTCGCAAAAGGAAGAAAACAGCATCTACAAGGAAACTAAAATAAAGGCACGACGATTCTTGTGGCAGAAGAGGTCAATCCCTGATCGTGACACTTCGTGGAAATGTTTGCTTCCCGGACCAACCACCCGAGATACGGATTAGCTTTCAGTATTTCAGGCAGTTGTTTCATCGGGAGATCTTTAAGGAGTTCTTATGGAAGGCCTGTCGACAGGCATTTCTTAATGCCCGCTGTAAAAAGGTGCCTACTTCATACTCTGGAGTAGCAGAAGGTAGAATTTGGGACGCAGTCTTTTCTTCTCAAAATGGGCTTAAGTTACTTTTAGTGGTTACGGGTGTTGCTTGGTGTCTCGGGACATAAAAGTCCCGGCACCTCCTTTAGAGTCTGCATAAAACGCGGAAAAAAGTGTGGTAAAAAAACAAAAACAACTAAACTCGAGTTACAGGCACCACGTCAAATTCCCATAATAGCACCAAGTAGTGCCACTAAATAAGCTACGCTTCAGAGTAACGACACTTGGCCATATCGGGGCTTAAAATCTTGGTTTCCAGTTATCTGAAGATTCATCTTAAATCGCATGAAACGCTTTTCTGTCCTCCACTAATGTTTAAACAGTTAACGACAAATCAAAGCAATATTACATGAGCTTCCTGACACCGAATATAACGCTGAAGGAGTCGCACTTTTGAATCATGACGATCGGCAGTTGCATTTGCTCTGTATAAGTACCAAAATGGCGGCGCCCACAACAATGTCGGGGAACGGAGTGCCGATACACCAACGTTACTAAAGCACTCAGTTGGGAAACTGCCATAGAGACTTGTCTGAAAGAGTGGCCCCGATCTGTCCTCGAGAACCGAGCTAATGACGAACACAACGCCGCCATTTCTCCCGCAGCGGCCACTCGAGGCAGTGTACTTTACTTCTATTTTGGCTTTAATCAGTCATTCTGGGCCGAAACAGATACAGCGGAAGAGGTTACAGGGATGCCACCCCCGTCTCCCCAGCGGACGCGCCGCGACTTACTACTGAAGTTAAAATGCACCTAGGTCGGGACGTGCTACCTGAAAGCACCGCTGAGGCATGGTTGTATAAAAACAATATTAATTGTGCCGCAAAACCCTGCAACCTAAAGATTTTAAAAACATCACGCGCCCATCATTTGGTACTAAACTTCAATAAATTGTATACAAAAAGAGTCTTTTCCGTTTGTTTTTATGCAAAAACAGGCTTTCTAAAAGCTCAAGGTGACCACAGTACGGGGTACAGACAAATGAGAAAGAGTGGCGCTGTTGTCGTATTTAGCTCTGTCTCGGTGGACGACAGCGGCCCAGGTTTCGACGGCGAGTTTCCCTAACTGAGTGTTCTAGTAACGTTGCGATACACTAAGCGCAGCTCATTTAGTGGTTCTAGCACCAAGAATGCAAGAACGCACGAGAGGGGTTTTGCCATTTTGTTGACGTCGTTAACGTTTTCTGTCTTGTATGGGCAAGCGGCGCACCCTCGTGATGGTAGCTGGCAACTGGTGATTGGGCAGGCATTATCAGTATAAAGGAGGCTATGGATAGAGAAACACGAAATGCGTGCTCACGTTTCCGTTTTATTTTCCTTCTTTTGATGGAGTTGGGCGTGCGCTGCTTTCTCACTGCTTAGAGGAGCAATGCAACGATTTCTTTACTTCGCGCAAATACCGTTTAGAACGAATCCCTGGCGTTAATAACCTATCAAACACGCGGCCGTTTTTCACCAAACAAATACAAAATCGAAGAAAACAATTTAAGAAAAAAAAAAAGAAAACAAGAACGAGCTCCTCAACTAGCAGGCAGGACAAGCGGCCACGTGACCTGGAGCCGATTATATGCCGCCAATGTTGATCATAGCTACGCGCTGGGGTTGGCAAAGCATAAGACACGCGCCGAGCTCCAGGTATTGTTATGGTTCGGCTACTGTCGTTACTGCAGCAATAAACGGGGCACTACCCGAATGCTTGTCGACAGTGTCCTAACGTGGGTCAGTGTCCCAACGTGGGTCAGTGTCCCAACGTGGGTCAGTGTCCCAACGTGGGTCAGTGTCCCAACGTGGGTCAGTGTCCCAACGTGGGTCAGTGTCCCAACGTGGGTCAGTGTCCCAACGTGGGTCAGTGTCCCAACGTGGGTCAGTGTCCCAACGTGGGTCAGTGTCCCAACGTGGGTCAGTGTCCCAACGTGGGTCAGTGTCCCAACGTGGGTCAGTGTCCCAACGTGGGTCAGTGTCCCAACGTGGGTCAGTGTCCCAACGTGGGCCAGTGTCCCAACGTGGGCCAGTGTCCCAACGTGGGTCAGTGTCCCAACGTGGGTCAGTGTCCCAACGTGGGTCAGTGTCCCAACGTGGGTCAGTGTCCCAACGTGGGTCAGTGTCCCAACGTGGGTCAGTGTCCCAACGTGGGTCAGTGTCCCAACGTGGGTCAGTGTCCCAACGTGGGTCAGTGTCCCAACGTGGGTCAGTGTCCCAACGTGGGTCAGTGTCCCAACGTGGGTCAGTGTCCCAACGTGGGTCAGTGTCCCAACGTGGGTCAGTGTCCCAACGTGGGTCAGTGTCCTAACGTGGGTCAGTGTCCTAACGTGGGTCAGTGTCCTAACGTGGGTCAGTGTCCTAACGTGGGTCAGTGTCCTAACGTGGGTCAGTGTCGTAACTGGGGTCAGTGTCGTAACTGGGGTCAGTGTCGTAACTGGGGTCAGTGTCGTAACTGGGGTCAGTGTCGTAACTGGGGTCAGTGTCGTAACTGGGGTCAGAGTCGTAACTGGGGTCAGAGTCGTAACTGACCCCCCCCCCCCCCCTCCTTCCCTTTCCGGTACTGGGCCGGTCATCCTGTGCCATCTTCTCCTTAAGGTGCAACCCCACCCTTCGTTAGTGTGATTCTGAACCAAGAGATGGTGGAGGGATCGCCTTCAGACCCTCAGATTTGGTGTAAGTTGTCTCCTGAATGCTTGCAACAAAAAGGGGGAAACATTCTAACTCTGGGTTAATAGAAAAACTCCACCTACTGACAGCTACCAATAATCTCGGCGCCGATTGTGAGTATTCACTGAATGCCAACGGTCGCGTGCCTAGAACAAGTTTTTCCCAGGTGATTTCATCCAATCGCAATTGTTCTTGACAAACAACACTGTTTATTTATGCAAACGGCCACATGTGAAGTTTAACATATTTTGTATTGATTGTGGCACACGTGACAAGTAACAAAGTGTTGTTTTTATTTTACAATTTGCGATGTAGAATGCTCCTGGGTTACCGTGGTCTCATTGCATGTAGTACACAAAAAAAACACGAGATGAATCGCAGTGGGAAACAAAAACAATAAGAATAAACAACTGTGTAATCACGTAAAAACTGAGGGCAGTGCACATATGCAGAATCTAGCTTTGTTTCACTAAATACATTACCAGTAAAGTATTTGGTTTTATCGTGCGAGCGAAGCGGAACATAAAAGAGCGAACATGCTGGCGTGAACTACTCTGCGAGTAAAGAAGCGCACCATCCAAAGCATCGAGCTCGCTTTTATAGCTTTTTGTGCGCTCAGATCTTTTGAAAACCCAATTATAATCAATTCTATTATTTCAATTATTTTTATTAAGCGCGCATATGTGTCTTTTTTTGTATTTTGCCTTCACGTGGCATTTTCTTAGTTATATATTATTTTTCTATAGAAGTCCGACAACTATAGACGCTTTGCAGCAGCTGCGCATGGACGCCGCCATAACTGACCTTCAGTTTTTGTTTCCTCTTATTTCATTTATTTCACTTCATCTTTAGTGTAGCAGGTCAGGTTATTGCCACATTAGATTCAACTGTGTCCTTTTCTAGAGCATCGGCCTTTGCAGAGGATTGTCAACTACCGTTTCAGTTGCTCGGCATCTCGGTAAAACGTAAAACAAGAGAAGGTCAGCAATGGCGGCTGTAATTTGGCGCGTGTGGAAAGCGTCTATAGTCTGTTTCATCATAAGAGCCGCATAATCAAAGATGTAGACAAAAAAAGAAAAAGAACGCGAACAGGCAAACACACATTAAAATGAAATGTAACGCCGGATTCAAAGTTAGTCGTTAGTTTTTTAGAGAGCTGCAGTTTCGTAGGGCGACACTGTTACCCGTTGAATGTTATAAAAAATGCAGTACAACTGTTAGTTCAGGGTCTTTAACGTGCATTACGCAATATATGTGGTACTCGATTGCACGACGATAGGATGAAGATGGGCGACTGAACCCAGGGTCTCTGCTAAAGCCCCTTGATAAAGGCGTTTTTTACAAGTACCGCCAACCATTGTTGTGGAGACGCGCAAGACACGTGCCACGAGCGGGTGCTCCGCCGCCATTCGCTTTCAAGGGCCAGTCATTTTAGTGCTGCGCCGCCATTTGCCTCTAAGGGCCGTTCGAGACACGGGCCTCGTACATTGGTACAACTGACGTTACTTGAAAGACCAACGCAAATACATCGAGGAGATTTAGTCCCCCGGTTCTGCAGCGTGAGCCCCGTGCTTTGAACGGAGCTCGCGCTCGAGCATTTATCCACGTGCTCTGATCCGTGGTGCCACAACACACCCACCGCACTTGGTTAAAGGAGCTGTGCAACGATATTCAATTGGGATGTTTTTCTCTCTGCACGAGCTTACTGGCACACCTGGGACTCAAGGATACTCACACGCAACGCCATTGGCCAAGAAACTCCTTTGTTGCGGTGTAATGTCAAGGACAAAAGCGATCATTTTCATTCAATCTCTCCTTTGCAAAATTTGATGACGTAACTCGGGGATCGCAGTACACCCAAGTGACGATATTTGAATGCGGTTCATAGATTGAACCCGAGCCCTGCGTGGGCACTCGACTTGGGCTCGTGACAATTGCTAGCTCGAGAAGCATTCGGGTAGTGACCCGTGTCCAATCGCTGCAACGACGACAACAGCCGAGCCATAACATTTTCTGGAACTCAGCGCGTGTCCTGCGCTTTGCCAACCCCAGCGCGTGGCTATGATCAACACTGGCGGCATATAATCGGCTCCAGATCGCGTGGCCGCTTGTTCTGGCTACGAGTTGAGGGGGTGAACGCTGCTCGTTTTTCTTAAATTTTTTTCTGGGACTTCTATTGCGTGGGGTGAAGAACGAACGCGTGTTTCATAGGTCAATAACGTTAGGGATCCGTTTTAAGCGGTATTTGCGCAAAGTACAAAAATTGTTGCATCGCTCCTTTAAGCCTGAGAGCTAAATCAAATGACAAACGCAACTGCCAATCGTCATGATTCAAAAGTGCGACTTTCTCAGCATTAGTTTCGGTGTTAGAAAGCTCACGTAATATTGCTTTGCTTTGTCGCGAACTGTTTAAATATTTGTGGAGGACGGAAAAGTGTTTCCTGTGATTTCAGATAAAGCTTCAGATGACTGACAACCATCATTTTAAGCACCAAGATGTGTATGAAGCGTAGCTTATTCAGTGGCTCTAGTTTAGCCCGACCTCATAGGCACAAAAAGAGGACGAACAGCTTCACCTCGGGCTCTTGGCGCTGCTTCAGTGGCTTCATCAACCCCTACCGTTGTCTACACTCCGAACTAAGGTAAAGCAAAGCAAATATTCAGACCTTAAGGTTTCACAAGCCAATCCAACAAAAATCACTTCACACGCCCCAATAAAAACAAAATGCGGATTTATTTTGACTAATCGGAAATCTTTTGACGTGCAAGCGAAATCTCAGATTGGCCTCCGTCGGATTGTGGGTACCTCGGCCGATATTTAAACCCGGCGAATATGGATTCATGGGCCAGCGCGTTGGCTCAGAGTCACTGAGACGATTTAGTGTTTTGTTTTAATATCATTCCACTAGCTTATTTATTGGCACTAATTGTCGCTTAAGAGCCACCGAGGTGGTTTATGAAACAAACTATAGCCATACCATTCCGACAAGCATGGTTTGATTGCGAAAATGATTTTTGCAAGTGATAAAAACATTAAAATGTTTTCGCACACGTGGCGGAATCTGAAAAGACGGAATGCATTTTATGGCGCCCATTTCATTTGAATCGCGTCGGGCATGTGTACCGATGCACAGTAGAACGTGCGCAAGAGTAACTGTGGTGCACCCGCAGCCTCGCGCTTGTTGTTCTGACATCCCTGGCTCACTCATTGCGGGCGTCCAGGCATCTGACACCCTGACATCTGGCGCTTTTTCTGTCTTTCATGTGGTGTTCCAAGCGGCACACGACGGAAAATGCACATCGAGCTGTTCTTGAACACGTGTCGCCATCTGTGCTTTATATTAAGAAACTACAGTTTGCCGTAACTGAATGGGGAAAGCTTGAAGTCTTATAACATTATTAACATGTAATATATCAAATGGAAGTTCTAAAAAATGCAATATTAAAGGATGCTTCACAATTTAATGTCTCGTTATTTTGATAAGTTGACGTGATTCCGTTTTTATAGCGCCATTAAATAATACCATTTTAAAGTTTATTTTTTATTTCAAAATATACATTATCTGTACAGTTCGTTATTTACGTTTTTAATTTATTACATCCAACCGAACGCTCACGTAAAATATCGAGTACGATAGGACGTTATAACTCGAGAAATAATTGTTTCGATATTAGGGACTGTGGCCTATTAAAAGAGTAATAATTAACTAACAACTAGAAATAATCGTAATATCGAGACGTTAAAGCATCGTTGAGAAACAGCTCTTTGATTCGACATTAACTTTATAATTGTAAGCTACATAGAAAGAAAGTTATAAGCCGTCAAAAAAGCACCAAAACGTCATGAACGGTGGGGTTGCACCTTAAAGGGATGCTGAACCGATATGTAGATTCCACAAAGCACGGCGGCAAAAGCGTACAACGGAATGCTACAAATATCAAAACACTCATACAACTATATATCGAACGGATGACCGTATTTTTCAAAAAAAAAGGAGGCGCATATTTGACAGATATGTTCACGTTTTCTCTCTGCAAGAAGAGTCGAGAAAGAGAGGGAACGGCCTCCCGTCTCCACCTCGCCGCCTTGAGGCAACTTGAGGGGGCGAAACGAAGAGTGGAGGAAACGAGTCACTTGGACGTCACGGGCCTCGTCGGCCTCGTTCAATCTCGACCTTTTTTTTCCAAAAATACGGCCGTCGATTCGAGATATCAACTTACGAGTAGTGTTGTAGGGATTGTAGCGTCCTGCCTACAGCTCCTGCATTGTTTTCCGAAATCCAAATTTCGGTTCACCATCCCTTTAACGGGCTTCTTAAATGACCCCTAAGGGTCATGTCGCAGTCTACCACCAAAAAGGTACGGGATGCGGCCGGCCGTACTCCTACCCTTCGCCAAGCCTAGGCAGGTCTCTACGACCGCTGGAGGTGATTGCTTCAGAGCGAGCCCTCACGAAGATGAATGGGGGCAATGAACGCGAGTGCCTACTTTATTGTCATGCAGTGCTGAGATGTACTACTTCGTCAACGGGGCAATCGAAACAATGATCTCAATGGCTAAAGAGGTCCCACAATGAAACGCGCGCAGTATTGCATGCAGGGAACTTTTGAAAGTAGTCCATTCATTTCTCGCGTCCGACGGGCCGCGCCTCCAGCGACGAATTCAATATTATCATCTGAATCACCGTTTCTCTGCATCTCCAGGTGAAGCGGAAGGCCGAAGCGACTGTGATCAGATACCGTAACCTTAGATAGAACGTTATCCATGTGCACGTTAAACTTCAAACTAAATGTCTACAAGTTTCACGCAAGTTTTATTTATTTAACAAAACAATCGTCACTTTTTCTCTCTCCCGTGTTATGCCGTAGGCCGCGCATAAACAAGAACTACCTCCCAGTCACAAGAAGTACATTGAACGAGGTTTCGCGAAGCACTGGGCTACCATTCCACATGGGAGAAGGTCATACAAGAGTGGCACTAACCGGTGAGCACTCCGCTCATGCGCTTGTATATGCCCGAGACAGGAAAGATTCCCCCGATGTAGAGCTTGGGCTTGTCCCCAAGATCGCCTGTGACGAATTCGTGGAGCAGGTGTTCGTTCTGGGTCAGGAAGGTGCAGGCGATGTCGCTGTAGTCTCGATCGCGGGTCGACTCGCGCTTGTACAAGTCCAGCATCTGCTCGTATTGGTCCTGCTTGAAGGATATCTTTTGGGCGATGTCGTACACGTCAGGAACACTGTCCTTCAGCTTGGACCACACCACCTGCGAGTGAGGGCAATGGTTTTGGAGTTGTCGAAGCGGTGGCCCATCTGCAGAATTTTGGTAGTATACGGGGCAATCTGGAGCAGACATGGAAGGCCCACAGCCGGCCCGCCCGAAGGCTGTGTTCTGGGGCTTCCCTGATTTACTAAAAAAAAGGATAACTAACCGACGTCCAGGCTTGTTTGATCGCCTTGAAAGTCCAACCATAGAGTTACCAAAACACCGCACAAACTAACCATTCAGTTACTTTGAAGATGCAACAACTTGACTCACACACACAAGACGATGACTGGGGTTCTTCGGAATTGTGCGATTACGAGGATAACGCCTGCAATGTCGGCTTTCTCTTTTTTCCTGGTAATTTAGAACTGATTCGAAGTTTCTCGACAAAGCACGCTCAGCTAGTGTACGGCCTGGGTATACGGACTTTATTCTGCAGGTCTCTGGTACTCGCCTTCTCCATGTGGTTGACCTCGAACTCGCACTTTGCGTTGTCCGGGTTGTCTTGAAAGTCCTGCAGCGCCCTGTCCTCGCACTGGGGGAACGCGATGTGAACGACGTTGCTCGAGGTCGTGAGCGTGTTGGGCTTCCAGTTGTAGAAAACGACGGATTCGTTCCGGGCCAGCGCCGTGGTCACGTACTCCTCGAGCCGCTTGCCCACCCAAGCCACGTTGACGCGAAGCTTGAGGGACTCGATCTCGGAGGTGAGCATGTAGTACGTGCTCTCTGCGCAAACACGGTCGCGGGGACGACACGTCAAGAGACATGCAACGTCGATCCAGCCAAAATTCCCGTTTATCTAAGTATCGGCAGAGAAAGCTCAAAGAAGGCAACATTAAATTTTACGGGTTCACGTGCTACGTCAACTACAGTCACCGATCGGACAAGAACAGCCAGGGAGGTTCGAACCGCTACATTTCACCACTAGCACAACCTCACTCGGATGTTGAGATTAAAACGCAATACCCAGGCACGGGTCACGAGTAGCTCGCGCTACTTGGATCGTGTGCTGGAGACGTGTCACCGGAAAACTCTCATACAACTGTGCAGCACTTTTTTTGCGTTCTGATTCAGGAGAGCAGTTGCTGTATGCGATGTGTGAACAAATGTCACTGCTGTGCTTTGTCGGTGGTTTTTGTTTTATGAGCAAGGTACCCCACAATCATACAATTTTTAGTGTTCCTTTATTATTTTCACGCCACTGCTGCGTAACTGTAAAATGTATAGGCAGAGTCTAACTCGCTCGGGCAGCTTTTTCTCGCAGCTCCAACCACACTGACACTATGAAAAAGCTATTGTTATAATATCATCATTAGTATTCACTTATTGACAAATTTCCGCAGCAAAAATTCGAACCGTATAACTATACCGAGCCGCTCCTACGTGCGTTTTAGGTTGCGCGGAATGCGCAATTTTTGTTTCTTTAAATAAATAAATTTAAGTCATGATTTAGACGTCACTTGGCTCACCAAAAATCCGTCACCAACGGGGAAAAAATCCCCGGCATGGAAGGAACATTAAATTAGAAAAACAAAATTACCTTATCAGCTGTTTTTTTACTTTCTTTTTTAATCATCCGGCATCTACTTTTTACGAACTACTTGATGAGACGTCACCACGCCATATCGAGCCTTGTTCTTCATGTGTAGATTTTCCGCACGTTTTCAAAAGAAACTTATCTACAGCAGTTTGGTGAAAGAGGAAATGTCTTACACAAAACTGTATGTACTAGGGTGACCACCTTCCTGCAGGCGAAATGCGGGACACCCTGACCGGGGGGGGGGGGGGGGGGGGGGGAGTGAGGGGGAGGGGTAGTGAAAAGGGGGAGAGGTAGTGAAGGGTAAGAGGAGTACGGTATTTTCATGTCTCAAGAAAAAGGTATTTAAGAAAATTCACCATCACGCACAGCCCGATATCCTGTGCACTCCGAAAGCATATTATACACCTGGAAATTGTGTGGCGGCAATTAAGCTGAAATAATTTTCACTCAGTGATATATTTTGTGTAATTGTAATGATAAATACTTTATTATGAGTGCCTAAGTGCCTACAGCAGACCCCAATGCATGAAAGGGAAATAAGAAACAGTAAATCTTTTTCGACTTATTGTTTCCTGTCGATACTTACACTTATACTAACATGCTCTTGCACACAATTATAACCCCATGTTGTTGTTTTTACGACCCTTGCGAGTTGCAGGTTTTTTGGCTTGTGTGACAGTCTTCACTAAAAAAAACCTTTCCATAACAACCCTTTCGCATGACACAGTATGATTTGCAAATAATTACAATAGTTTATTTTTCAACTTTTGGCAAGAAAGTTTCGCTCGCGATATTTTGCCATCAAGAGTAGAGGCACAACGGCACATACGCGTCACACTCCTGCAAGAACGACAGTCACTTCCAGCAGTGCTTGTATAGAAAATGGCATACCGCCGAGATTCACACGTTTATCAGCGACCTCGGTGCTATCCCGTGGCTAGTTCTTCGGAAGCGCCATAATTTCCGCAGTCAAATGCTACGACAATGTGAAATGCGGGACATTTTAAAGATTTTGGTATTTCTTGCGGGACGCGGGACACGAGCCCTCAATGCGGGACAGTCCCGCGAGTCGCGGGACGGGTGGTCACCCTAGTATGTACACTGTGCAAGGAAGCAATACATTTACAAAATAGACGAGGCAACATAGTGTGTGCCGCCACGTCAAGTATTTCAGTAAGGGTAATAATGAGGTGACGAATTCGGCAACCTAACTGTAATTTTCAAACGTTTCGTTGTTTGTTTCAATATTATATATAGTCAGCACAAAACATTTTTTTTTTGTATATTCAACCTACTTAAACATTGGCAGGGGGACATATTTGTAGCCATTTGTTTTCTTACTGAAAATACCAAGAACCCGCGAATCCCAAACGAGTGCCCTGGGACCGCAGCGTTAATTCAGGCACCAAATGCGCGTTCCAGGGCTGTTCAACTTGAAGCTCTCACGTGGTAACGCTTTCTGTATTGAGGCGGTTCACTACCTATATTGTCACGAATGACAATGGATGAGGCGGTAATAACTGAATAAACTAAACGTTTAATGGAGCGAACTTGTGCCCAAAATAAAAGGGAATAGAAGATAATAAAGCGTCGCGAGCGTCGAAGCCGGCGAGACAGCAGAGTCGAACGCTGGAGCGAAACTGAGTCCGGCTGGCCACGCGGAGCCCCTTTTGTACACGCATGGGCTTCTGGAACAATCGGCGTGGAAGGTTCGGCGTGTGGAACGTTCTAACCTCGAATCAGCCCCAACACTTCTCGAATTTACCAAAACATTACATTAGAGTCAACAAAAATGCGTACCCGCGGCCAGAAATCGAACCCTGGCTTCTGCGTGGAAGGCACGCGCGATAATAGGCCCTGAGCGCGCTGCCTACTCAGTCAGCTCCGCTCGCGGTAATATAACTAAATTTTTAAAATGGTCATCGAGCAGTATTGCCAGCAAACCCCTTACACGGGTATAATTTAGTTCAGTAAAGTCACACGTCGCAAATGAGACTTTTGGACGCGATGCGTTGTTCAGAAGCGCATGCATCGTGTCACAGACTGAGTGATTGAGGACCCGTAAAAAAGGAGTAGTGGTCAATATACTCTCATCCTACTTTTTGTTTGTAATAAGACCGGAACAGAACCATCATCTAAACGATCAGACTCAGCCGCAGTAGTGTCTTGCAAATGCGTCGGCTGGGCTCGAGTTTTTCCCTCTCGGAACTCTTTCATCACGTTCAAGGTTTTCCAGCTCGTCTGCATCAACGTGGCTTTGCACTGTCGTATTCTAGCCTGACAGAACACAAACAACCCTATCCTCTAAGCGCCCCAAAAGGAGATGAATGTCCCAGCTAAAAAGTTCCACGTCAGACTCGGAGATGCATGATCATGAAACACTCGTAAGTGCCGTTAACTCTGGATGCCACTAGGACAACCAAGGCGAGAAGTGCCTCGGGGTGGTAAAATGAATTCCAGCTGAACCAGAAGGCCTGCATCTTTCCCCGAAAATCACTACTGAAAAAACCAGGAAGCACCGCCTCGTTCGCGCCACGAAGAGTGGCACAAAGAGCGCGACACTAGCACGTGGGGACGCCACTCGTCTGCCTTTTGCGGAGCACTCTTGTCGAGCTTAGGTGCGGTTGTCGCTTGAGGCAGGTCGAGGATCCACCACCGATGCGCCTGGACCGAAGCGGATCAGCCGGGAACGCCCAGAAGGCTCACCCACCTGGGTAGTCGGCGATGAGCGTGGCACAGGGCAGCTTTCCCTTGTGTTTGCGACAGATGGGAGGCTCGTAGATGCCGTTGACACACAGAGACGCATTACACAAGAATCCAGTCTTGTCTGGCGTCCTAGTGTATTCGTGCAGAAGCTTGTCGTGGAGTCTGTTCATCAGCACGGTCACGTTGGGAGACCGAAAGGACCGCCAGTGATCCAGCACCATGCCGTGCTTCTCCCAGAATCTCTCAACAGTCGACAACGGCACGAACCAGCCAGACCTGCACAAAATCCGTGGTGTCAATTCGCATCCACCTAGTGCTATACTTCGTTTCAGCGTTAGTCCAGACGCAGCCCACGCTACGAGGTAATGGGACCAATCAAACCGCGTCAAAACGCAAGTCTCCGAACGTTTTCTGTTTATGATTGGTTAGGCGATGATAGAGCACGTACACATGCATGACGAACACCATGATGGTGCGCTTTTAACCCACTGTCCGATTGGTTCCTCATCTCATATCGTAGGCTTCGTCTGGACTTCAGTTGAAACAAAGTAAAAAATAGATTTTTTTTTTTTGTGGACGACAGTAATCATTTTTTTCTTCATCTGTTTTTTTTTGTCAGCAAGTACTGGGCCCACTCGCGCAATAGCTTTTTCACCGAGTTTGAGTAACAAAGATAGAACCGCGAGAGTTACGGGGACGCCTTCCCGTGCTTCGAAGATTGGCGACGATATGTTGCGGTAGCTCCCACTTATGGTTCCTATCTGTGACGTCACGACCAGGATGATTGATTTCCAAAAACGATTTCGGTAGTGTGCGTGAAAGCACGATGGAGGCTCGTAGTCATCGCGTCCTTAAACCATCACCGTCAAATTTTACAGTCTGACATTTGAATATTTCCATTAATAGAATTCATCATACTCGAGACCAAATAGTGAGCGTTTGGCCAATCGTGGAAGGTCGACTACAGCGACGCTAGCAACCAATAGACCTACCGTAATAAATCACCCAGGCATCAAGGACAATGCTGGTGATAAGAATCCTTTCAACAACTACAGGTCTATTTCGCTAACCTGCGTGGCATGCAAACTCATGGAACATATACTTTCATCCCAGATTATGACTCATCTATCCAGTCACAACCTTATCTTTCCGAACCAGCATGGCTTCCAACGCGAGCATTCTTGTGAAACACAGCTGTTCGAATTAAATCATGACCTTCATGTTTCTGTTCATTCTTCACGTCCCGTTGATGCTGTGTTTATTGATTTCGCGAAAACTTTTGGCCGGGTCCCCCACAACAGATTGATATATAAATTGGGTACTATTAATATAAACGAATTAGTTATTGAATGGATCGCGAGCTTTTTATCAAATCTGTCTCAATCTGTCGTGATTAATAAACATGCCTCCTCTCCCACACCCGTTAAGTCTGGCGTCCCATAAGGTTCGGTTCTTGGTCCGGTATTGTTCCTTCTCTATATAAATGACCTTCCCGCTAGCATTGAGTCCACCATACGCCTTTTCGCGGATGGTTGCTTCATTTATCGCCCCATATCCACTCCTTTAGATCTATGCGTACTCCAGCGCGACCTTGAAATAATCAGCCAATGGTGTATCACCTGGTTGATGCAAATCAACATTACAAAAACAAAGTGTGTAACTTTCACCACCAAATTAAATGTTGATCGCCACGCGTACGCATTCTTTAGTCTTTATTCAGGGCGTTAAAGCAGGGGGGTTACAATGCTGAAAAAAACACATCTTCATTTTCACTGCACACTTGCAGCTCCGACAGCCCATGCCACTCTCGTATCGTTTTAACAAAAAAAGAGTTGGCGTACATGCTCCTCCTGGCGCGGAACTCTCTAATTTTGAAAGCATGATCGTTCCGTTTAGAAATATAATATGGTTCTTTTAAGCAAGTTTCACTGTTAATTCCAGTTTTATTTTTAAATATCAAGAACAGAAACTTTAAACACAATTTTTTACGGCGGGCTGAGAGAGGTTCCCAATTCAGTTCAGTCTTCATATGAGTACAGCTCTCTCTCCGCCCGTAACGTCCCAGAACAAACCTAGCAGCTCTATTTTGTATTTTTTCAAGTTTGTCTATTAATGTTTTTTGTTCCGGGTCCCAGACGGCACAGGCATATTCCAAAATTGGCCTAAGACATGTTAAATATGCGGTTTCCTTTAAGTTAGGGAGTGAACATTTCAGGCTTCGTTGAATAAAGTTCAGCGCCCTGCCAGCCTTTACAATCACGTCATTCACATGTGAATTCCACGAACAGTCAGTTGATAACGTGACACCTAAGTATTTATATTTGGAGTCCTTGTTTACTATATTGTTATTTATATAATATTGGGTTTCAATTTTCTTCTTTTTAGTAAAACATAAATGCACACACTTTTTGGGATTTAAAGTCATTTTCCAAGTAGAGCACCACGTAGTAATGCATTCTAAATCTATTTGTAACTGGGTCGCATCATCATTGTTACTAATTTTTCTGTACAACACACAATCATCGGCCAACAACCGAACACAAGATGAAATACCCAAGGAAATATCATTGATATATATTAGGAACAAAAGCGGCCCTAAGACAGAGCCCTGTGGGACTCCCGATGTAACATTAATGTATGATTGAAAATGTCCCATCAATCAAATATCTTGGCGTCCACCTTTCAGCTAACCTATCATGGAACCTTCATACTGAGCATATTATCAGCAAAGCGTCTAAAACTCTAGGATTTCTTAAACGTTCATTGTTCCAGGCTAATAAAGCAACTAGACTTCTTGCGTATACCTCACTCGTAAGATCGCAGTTGGAGTACGCGTTCATTATTTGGCACCCTCATCAGATGTATCTAACCAATAATATTGAGTCACTTCAAAATAAAGCCGCCAGGTTCATAGCTAAGGATTACTCCAGATATTCGAGTGCGACTAACATAAAACATTCCCTCAACCTTTCGCCACTTCATTGTCGTAGATATATTTCCCGCATGTCCTACCACAAGCTATACCATGGTTCATCTTTCAGAGATTCATACATCCAGCCTCCTCATCATGTCTCATCCCGCGTAGATCACCCCTTCAAAGTACGCCCTATTTTTGCTCGCACCAACCTATTCAAAAACTCCCCTCTCCTTCCTCGCTGTCCCCGATTGGAACAGCCTACCCAGCAATATTGCGACGATCACCTCAGCCCAGATGTTTTCCAACGCCCTAACCAATGTATAACGATGTATGTAGTTTTTGCTTACCTAATTTTCACTAAGCATTTTTTTTTTGTCTTTTCTGTTATTATATGTTGCGCCAACGTCATCTTTTTGTCACAAAGTGTACTAACTTTGTCTATGATTGCCCTCCCCCCCCCCCCCCCCCCCCCTATGTAATGCCCGAAAGGGTTTTTAGGGTAAATAAATAAATAAATAAAATGTGGGTCTACGCGCCGCACGGGCTCGCCTTGACGAACGCCCATGCACGATGCCATTTGTTTTAAGTGTTTGATTCAAAACAGCCACTGCTGAAGGTGCCAGCACGCTTGGCGTCTAGTCATACATTTCCTACATTGTCGTTCATGCTTGGATTATTTAGCAATATGCTCCATTCAAGGAATAGCTTGGGACACAGCGCTCGAAGCACGGATGTCGAGGTGACTCGCAGTGTTCACGCATTGAAGCTGCTTATGTGCGAGTGGGGACTCAAACAACCATCGTTCGTTTCTTCGTGCCAGAGTGGGCCTCAACGCAACTGTTCTCACGTAACTAAAACGAAGGCGTACCTTGTCGTAATTCAGTATAACGTCAATCTACAGCTAAAATACCTACCATTTAGTCTAGAAGTTTTGATAAGCTCAGCTGTTTGTCATAATGCAATACCCGAGACTGGCGCGGAAGAATTAAGAAATTGCAAAGTTTAATAAAAAAAAAAGCAACTGTAGGAGAAAATCTTCATTCAGCGTGCAACAAGCGGTCCCTGCTAATGATGAGGAATACGAACATATACAGGGTGCTTCACATAAGAATGACAACAAATCCTACAATTAGTGTATTCCAGGTGAAAAGATAATTTTCTCGGGACCGCATTACTCGTGGTGACGGACGTCAGAAAATGCGATACTTCCTAATTACTTCGGTAATTAATTGAAAATGACTAATTAACTTTTTAAGTAGTGGAAATAGACATATGGCTCCAATTACAAACTTGCTGAGCGTCATCGAAAACCACTAAATCAGTAATTTTCATAAACTGAGCCAGTCAGAAGCGTAGTAGTGCGCTAAAGTTACCACTCGTTGAGCTGCAGGTACAAGGCTAGCGGTTGCGGTAAGGCGTTCGCGCGATTCTTCTGTCTCTTAAAGGGGCACTGACACATCAAAATCATATTTTTTTTTATTATCCGAAACGATTGAAAACGATGCCGGGACAATACCCTCAAAATTTGAAATTTGGGAATTCAGTATTCGTGAAGTAAAAAAACAATTTCCAAATGCCGAATTCGCAGTTCCCGCGCGATCGGCGCCGGTGCCTTGACGTCAAAAATTGCGGAGACCTGAGAGTCCCCTTTCTTTCACCACTCCCTGCTGTTGCCATGGCGACCCAAAGCGAGGGGGAAAGGAGCCAGCGCCGGCGTTCCGGCGGACCGGTTTTGAGCGGTCTCGCCTGTTTCCCGTTGGAGGATACAAATCCAGGAGACGGCACCACAACGAACTCCCGATTTTTGGTATTTCAAAAAGAAGGGCCGTACTGCGTTCGCAATTGCGTTAAAAAACATGTTTTAGGATTGCCGTAATTAAATGTTATAGAGATGTCGCCTACAAAGCTTCTAAATTTCATGATTCTTGACGTCACCGATCAAAAGAAGCGAGGAGGCGAGAGGCGGGAAAATCAAACGCCAAAAATAAAAAGGCGCGCGCGCGCGCAGGAAAAATTTTTTTCGCGATGCGGTCTTTTTTGCGCGTCTATGACTGCAACTTGCAGCGTTTTAGACAATAAAAATAAATACGACCTTTGGGTTGTCAGTGCCCCTTTAATTATGAGAGCCCCAGCCTTGTACCTGCACCACGAATGGTAACTTTAGCGCACTACTGCGCTTCTCACATGCTCGGTCTGCCTGCAAATGACCGATTTAGTGGTCTTCAATGACGCTCAACAAGTTTCGAATTGAAACCACATGCCTAGACTCACTAATTAAAAGGTTAATCAACGAAATTTAGTTAATTACTCACTAGACTGACGGTTGTTCGCATCTCAATTGTCCGCGGACCTCAAGAAACACAGTGAAGACGGCATTCACGTAGCAGTGAAGTCGCCCTTTTAAGAAATTCGTTTCGAATAAAAAACTAACACCATATTACCACTCGGATTGATGCCCGTGCCACACGGGCAACTCGAATGCCATTTAGAACGAATGACATTCGTGTGATCAACGAATCGGCTCGCGATCTGTCGCGCGTGGAACGCCCCACGCTCGGAGTGTCGCGCTGATTGGCCCATCGTTCGAATGTCATTCTTTGTAAATGGCATTCGAGTTGCCCGCGTGGCACGGGTATTAGTCGTAAGAGAACTAACAACGGGCATAGCTGTTCAGAAAGTAGCAGACATGAACTCACCTCCCAATGGGGCCAAGAGGACCACAGTCGATGATTCGCCCAGTTGCCAGCCAGGGCTCGAGGCTGTAGCCCGGACCGAGCCACAATTCCAGGTTAACCATGGTTTGAGGGTCGTCATTATCGCTGCAGTTGCTAAAGGGCAGAAGCAGAGTCGCGCAAGCAGTGAATTTGCGGAGACGTCTAAATCAAAAGTTAAACTTCAGTTTCATTTCCTACTTGTTGTAGGTACAGAAAGGAAATGGCGCCCGCACGAAAGAGCCCACTAGGTGGCTTTCACACCCTAGACGTTTTAAAGACACAGGCTTCGCAGTTTGCCGCACTGGGGGGAAACTAGCGACATGTGAGGAGCCTGCAGTTATGCACGGAGTGTTGCGTACGAAAATGATGTCTTCACCCCAAGGGAGGTCTTAATGAACCCCCTCCCTCTCCGCCCTCCCTCTCCCCTCTCCTCTCTCTCTCTCTCTCTCTTCCCCCCCCCCCCCCCCCCCCCAGTAATTAGGGTGTTTAAAGTAGACTGAGCGGCTAAATAAAGCAAGCTTACTGTGGCGATGCGCAGCTAGTGATTCTCCGGAGGGCATCCGTCACGTTGGAGTTGTTGGTGAGGCGCAGAGTCACGTTTTGGTAGCCTAGCAATTCGGTCACCAGGATCTTGAAAATGTGCGAGATGAGACGGTGCGTCGGCCTACGAGTCGTCTCGACCACGATGGTGCGTGCCTGTCCCTTGATGTACATGATCCGAGGAGCAGGCTTCGGGTAGCTCTCTGCATGCGTGATACCACTCGAAGTAAATAACAGAAATAAAGCGTCGACGAACGCGCGTGCAAGATGCCGTTTGTTTTAGGTATTTGCTTTAGAAAAGTTATAATTGCTCAGGCCAGCACGTGCGGCGCGTGGAACACCAATTCCTGCATTCTCCTTGATGCTTGGGTAATATAGCAATAGGTATATTAAGGGGAGTCTGCGATCAACGCGTCCTTACTCCGAGTCATCTTCAGCATCCTTAGCACGCGTTGTATAGAAAAGCTAGCGCAAGAGCCAGACTACTCCCACTCCGGCATAGAGATCGCAAAGAGAAAGCAACGATAACCTTCGCGCTCCCAAGTTACTTGCACTCCCGTGTAACAAGCGAGCGTACAAGAGGCCACTCACTGCCGGGCTGGAAGCATCTTTTGGTCGAGCTGCCGTAGCCATTGACGGGCGGGCCAAGCTCGCTCAGAAGGGCGACCAGAATGCAGAGGCTCCAGGAGCTGCTCCTCATGTTAAGCGCTCACCCATGGCACTCCAGGAAGCTGGGCCGAGCTGCAGGGGAACGGACTCTGAGCACTTCTGCACGGTCTGGCAGCTTGGAGGCCTTGATTTGGAGGAGCAACTCTACGAGCAAGAGGACATATCTCGCATGTCTTTATACACCGTATTTTCGGGACTATAATCCGCTCACTATACATGTTTAAAGGTTGAAATTTTACCCGGTGCGGACTATGCAAGGTTTTGTATTTTTCTAGATCGTTTACTGTGACAAGACGCGAAGGATTTTATGAGTAGCAGAGTATATTAATAGTGATTTATGTATGATACAAGCTTTTTTTCTGAGCTAATACAGCAGGCATTTCTCAAGATGTGCTGCGTATGATCATTTTTACGCTCGGATTTGGCACAAAATGCGGACTATGCGCCGCGTGCGGACTATAGTCCGGAAAATATGGTATCTATTACGACTTATCACGCACCCTTGTTTTCACCCTCAAGTAATGCGATGCTAGATGCCTGATTTAAAATAAATCAAATGAAAGGTAACGAGTTTTCCGAGCATAGTTTCTTTTCTCACATTACGTCCCTAGGTCTGGCATAATTGGTCTTAAAAGTTCAGTTATCATCAAAGACATCCGTCGGATGTATTACACGCAGGGGTGAACAATTCAACAAATATTTACAAAGATATATTAATAAGCAATTTTTAAAAGTATGTAAACCTAGATAAATCGTTGCCTCACCGGAATTCGAACGAGTTAATCGGTATCTTTGAGGTCATCCACGGGAGGGAATGTTTAATTCTATCGATAAACATTAAGGACCTTCATTCCCTGGAGAAAAATAGACAAATGACAACGGTGAAGGATGCGCTAGAATCTAATTTGGTTCAATTTCAATTCCAAACAGGCATTTCGCTAGGCAGTTTTCTCGTCATTCTTGATTATTATCTCCAGTCTACAGTTGTGGAGTATGCAGGAATAAAGTTTGCGCGGATGGGAGGCGTGTGCATTGGGACCTCGGCAGCACCGGCTTTAGCGAAGGTTTATCTGAATTCGTTGGATTATGTTGCGTTTTATCAAATTCATGTGTTTGAAGCGGACACGCGTATTGGTAGGAGAATGGGGGAGATATTTTCGTGTGCACTTTCCGGGATGATATGTCAAGCGGTCTGGCGCAATTGATAAAGGTATCAGCCCCGGAACAGCGCTCCACTGTGGAGAAACCGGAGAATGGAGTATTACAATACTTGGATCTGGAAATTCACACCGAGGAAGGTCTGTGCTGGGAGCACGGCAAAGAAAACCACAAACCAGTACTGTCAAAAATGGCCTGCCATTCGAAAACGGTGAAAGAGGCAATTATAAATTCTTTGATCAGAAATGCTCTTGACCGGTCGTGCAAAGATTTTATCTTAAGGTCGTTGGAAGGTCAATAAAGGAGACTAGACGGAGCAGACTTTGGAGAGGAGTTCATCAAAATGCATTTAAATTCCTACTCCAAGGAGAAAAAAGCAAGGAAAAACGTGTCGGAAAGACGGACGTCTGTGATCCCGCATTTTCATGGAATTTCGTATTATTTTAAGGCGTTTGCTATTCAGTTTAGAGTGAAAACCGTTTTTAGTCCCGATTTCAGGCTGAGCTGACTAACTCCTTTTGAAACGGGATTGCATGACTCTACAAAAGCTCACCGTGAGAAATCGGTCCCTTGCAAGAATAGTAGTGTATGAAATTCCAATGGCATGTGGCTTCGCATATGTAGGCCAAACTTCGAGGTGTTTTAATGATAGATTGACAGAACACAAGAGAATTGTAAGGATTAACGCAACCCATTCGGAAATAGCAAAGCAGATAAATGACTAACAATTGCACTGCTTGGCGGTCATGAACGGAAATACATAGAGTAGTGAATGACAGTAGAAGACTGGTAAGGGAAATCGTTAGAATAAAATCAGCTGGCAACTGAATTAGCCAGGCATTGATGCAGCTGGAGGGCAATGGCGAAGCATTTCTGTAAATAAACAATCGCGTTTTTTTTTTTTTTTTTTTTAAAGGAGGAAGCACAACAGCAGTTCGTTAAAGTGAATCCAGGTGGGTTATGTTCGTTAAATGTTTCGTTTCTCCTAAAACAAAACGACAATGACGGAAGTAACAATATCGCGTCCGATTGTTTAGAGGCTCAAATGACGAAAGTTCCCTCTTTCGTCATTTAAACCTGTCGCCAATCAGACGCAATATTGTCACTTCCGTCACTCCCCTTACTTTTTAGGAGAAACGAAACATTTGTCGAACATAGCCCCCCCAAAAATGTGTGTGTAGGTGTATTTTTTTTTTTTTTTTAATTTGTAGAGGTAGAGATTTCTTTCCAGTTCTACCTTTTTTTTTAATTTGTTGGTCTTTGTAGTTAGGGTTGTTGCTGGCGGTTGTAGTGTAAAAATGTTCCACAATTTCTTTTTGTAGAAGTGTAGGATATTTCAGGTTGGAAAGGTTTGTCCTGGCTGTTATCTTTTTTGTTATGCGAGGGGACATCGCTTTGTCCTTTTCTGGCAGTTCCTTTGTGCGTCTAAGTGTATTGCGTCCTAGCTAAGGGCTTGTGTGATTGGTGACCTTGTGGCTGTGTATAAAAGGAGGTGGGACTTGATATAACTTAGCTGCGTTCGAGACGTCTCTTCTTCCCCGTTTCTGTCCCTTCTAGGTTTGAGTTTATATTAAAGCCCCAATCTCGGGTTATTTTGCAAAATTGCACAACAGACTACAGAGACCCCAAAAGATATCCAGAAACGCTCTGCACTTGGAGCGAAACGAAAGGTGGTGAGAGTATCAGTTACTATTATGTCGGGCAGCCAATTCAAACCATTGATTCATAGCAAAAGCGGGAAAAATTGTCGATCAGTTCGTTGTAACGGTTCAATTTTGATAGCTTTCTGCCGACTGATAAAGCCGAAAGAGGAGATTTGGATTTGAGTTGTGACACGCTCGTGAGGGTTGAGTAGTTCTGATGAATGGCGTCGCTTTATTTTTCAAGGATTTGAGATTGTTAATGAAGTAGGCTTGATAAGGGTTCCAAATATTTTTTTTTTAACTTTGAGCGAACATATGTATTATACGCAGCGAGTTTCGTAAGATATAAGGAGAGGTATAATATTTTTTCGTAAATTAGGTGTTCTCGATGCTGTTTTTCACTGTTTCTATGTGCGAATATTCCACGTTAAGTCTGCAGTGAGAGTTATTTCAAGGTATTTGTAAGAAAAACAAAAAGGTAGATTTGCAACACAGGAAGAGTTTAATGAATAGTTTGCATTGTGAAGACCAGCTCCGATTAAACAAGATGACTTATGTTTTGGAAAACGCGTTGTTCCTCTCCCCCATTTTTGGGAGATCCGAAACGGGGGAGAGAGGGACTAAAAAGAAGACCCGACTGCATCCACGATTAAGGCCTTTGTTTTCACTGAAGCGGCTCTACTAAGGACGACAGCGGCAACAAATACGAAGACACTATAAAATGGAAAATACATAGCCTCCATTTCTGTCTCCCTGCTCGAGTCGTGCGGGTAGGACATAATTCAAGGACGTGAAATTTGCTTCTTACACAGAAATGAACCTGCAACCTGCGCGCTCTCCAACCGCCTAGAGGCTAACGATTCACATCTACGGTAGGTCCGAGCTCCGCTACACAAAGCCAGGACATATAAATATATATATAAAAGAAAAAACTTGATGAAAGTAAAAAGGTGACCTTAAAACAACATTCAAACATTTATTCCTAACAGTTTCGCCGGAAGGACCCGGCTTTCTCAAGGGATTGACATAAAGTGAGAATTCAGTGGCCGCACAGCGAAGAGAGAGGGAAAGAAGGGGAGCAAGCAACGGCATAACGTAGAGCACACACACAAATACAACCACAGGAACTCGCAAACGAACACGCCGAAGGGAAGCAACAAGACACATATGGCCGAAACACTGCAATATTTCAGTTAAGAAAAATTGGCAAAAAACTTGCTGCAAACCTAAAACTGACGCTCTCCCAATGCAATACACGGGCCAGGCCAAAACGAAAACAAAACTACAAGAAATTCTTATGCGAGCGGTTGTTTTCCTCACTTCCGGCCACATGTGGGGGAAGAGGGGGTGCCTGGGCCAGCCGCCATGACAAAGGGTATCGGAGGCGGTGGCTATCGACAAGCAGTCGTGGAGGCTACAACATTAAAAGCGACAAAACTCGGCAGCTTTATGGCTACGTTTACGTGGATGCGACCGTAGCGCATTTAGTTCACTTTGAACCACTGTGTTTACATAGAATGGAATTGATCGGTGGCGATATCTCGCGTCGAATGATTACAACGCACCTCACGTGACCAGTCAGTTTTTAGGGCGAAGCTTCTTAGGGTCTAGTCTTGTCCGTCCGGCGTCCGTGCTCACATCGATCTTGCTGGTGCTCGTGAAATCACGTGCTCGTGTAGGGCAAAAAAAAAAAAATGTTTGCGCAGTCGACAGGATTCGCACCTGTGCGGGGAGACCAATAGATGTCTAGCCCATCGCCTTAACCACTCGGCCACGACTGTGGGACGAGTAGGGGGCTCTGAGATGTGGTAGTAACTCAAGAGCTGGGAATGTAATGGATGAAACGTTGCATGTAGCCGCTCAACGTCTATACAGGAGAGGGCGCTGCGGTCAAATGCGTATATAACCGCATTAAACTTTGCATGCATTGGTTTTACGTTTATAGACGAGAGGGCGCTGCGGTCTAATGCTGAATAGAGTACCTTCATACACACGCGCGCTTTTGCTTTAGTGGTGACATCTCAGCCATTTTTTCGCCCAATCGTTTTTTATGCATTTTGAAGCGCGCGCAATCCGGTGTCACTCTGCTCGAGCGCGTAGCTTTGGCTAATGCATAGACGCCATTTTACCGCCCAAGTCGCGCACCGAGTGCGCGAGAGCGTCACGCGCTGGCACATTCAGGGCAACAATGGATGTCTTCACCCTGAGACAAACAGACATGTGGGCACCCTAATGCTGAAATGCGTATACAACCACGTTCCATACCACACA